ATATTAAGGTTTAAAGAAAAAGTTGTATATCAATAAATCAATATGTCATAGAAATGTCAAAATTAAAGTGGGATTCACAAGGAATAAAGTAGTATATAGAAAAGTCAAATAAGAGTATAGAATGAGAAATATTTTGAAGTAGAATGTAAATGTGATTGTTAAGAAATTAGAATAGGGCATAAGTGTAAAGGTTTAAGTGAAGTGAGGTGAGTGAAAAAGAAAAACGGCAAGTAAAAAGAAAGCAAAATCAGATATGTGGAAAGGCCTTAACAAGGGAGAAACCAAAAATCAAGGTAGTGAAAAAGAAAAAATAAATTATTGATTAGTTACGAATTAATTTGGGTGAAAAAGTCAGATATTGTAGAAAGATATTAAAAAACCCGGAAAACAAGAGAATCTTTTATCGAGAGAGTGTTAAAGAAATAAAGAAAAAGAAACCAGCAGAAGCAGCAGAAAGAAAGCGGACCAGCAGCAACAGCAGTAGAAAGAAAACGAACCATCAGCACCAGCAGCAGAGAGAAAGCGGAAAGACAGCAGCTTCCGAGAGAAAGAAGTACAACAGCAGGCAAGTCCCAGGAAACCAGATAAATAAGAGGCCTAGTAGTAGCAGTAGCAGAGAGAAAGTGGAAGTAGTAGCAGGAGCAGGTCCCAAGAAATTCGTCAGAATGCGGTATAGCCGACAGTGTCCAAAAAGCTATTGAGACAGGAAAAAAAGGAATTAAACAAACAATACGTATAAAAAAAGGTACCTTTCATTTTCGTAGACAATTTGTGCACAAATTAAAAGTAAAATTCGCTTGAAAGTTTTCAGAAATTCAAAGATTTCAATTTTTAACAAAATTTAGATATATAGCAAGCATCAAAAAAATTTGGCCAAGCATTTTAGATTTATAGATATTAAGATTAGTGATAAGTTGGAACATATTAAAACAAGAAATTATACGAGAAAATTGAAAGTACATATAGACAGCAACCAGTAAAGGAAATTAGCCAAATCGAAATAAATTCTTGTTGTAAGTGTTCAAGACATTGTAAAAAACTTCAAAATATTTGATAGTGTGTGACATTTCTAAACTGAAACATTGATATACAAAATAAAATATTAATAAATTAATTTATTGATAGCATCTGTTGTTTAGAGTTGTTAGTTGTGTTTGGTTTCTGGAAGAATAATATTTTGATTTCAACCGACTACTGAGGAGAGTCTAAAGCTAGCAGGGAGAAGGGATACAACATCACACCAAAATCAAATTTACATGTTACACTAAAACACAATTTAAAATTTAATTTGGCGCTCATACAAATATAAAGTCACACAACAATATATATGGGATGATCCACGTCAAATCGATCAAGCCTGTGCCCAAAATTTGTGAGCACCTTCGAAGATGGTTTTTGGCTTAAAAATTCGTCTTTTCAAGTACTTTAAGATGCTAATTGGCAGAATTGAAAAATCCAAGATGGCGGACATAATATGGCGCCTAGAAGTATGAGAAAAATAAAGAATTGTCCGATAAACTTCTCACAGTAATCAGATTAACCACAAATTCATACCCAAATAGTCTGAACAGGTGCCCTCGACATCGTTAGACATGGCTATGGAGTTATTTTTCAAAAATTCAAGATGGCGAATTTCATATAGTGACTTGTAAGGCTAAAAAGCCTGAAATCGTCATTCAAAGGGAAGTGAATTGTCGATTTCACCCATAAACCTTATCTGAACAGATATTTCTCATGATTTTCAGGTCGCTGGAACGTGACGTTGAGTTTGTTTGATGGTATAATATCATATATCGATTCTAACCTAAGAAAATTTTACTTTTAGAAGAAACAAAGAAAAATTTTAATAGATGTTCGAATTGATAACCATTCTCTTGAATACAACATCTTATTCTATCTTCAAATGATATTCTCACATTCCTTAGAATATTTGGGGTGATTGTGGCAAATGCATATCTAATCCTTTCCTTCATATCATCGCAAGTAGTAGGTGGAACACTGTGTACAAGATATATTTTTATACAGCCCGAAACAAAGAAGTCCATTACGAGAGGTTTGGACACCTGTGGTAGCCACTGACATGGACCATTTTTACCTACTCATTTATTACTTAATTATCGATTTACATAATTTCTCACTGAATATGAAAAATGTGCAGGTGCGCCATCTATTTGCATTCACAATTTTCTCCTTATATTTAAAGAGACGTCATCAAGAAGAACCCAAACCAATTC